AATTTTTTAATTTTTTTTTGTTTGGATTAATCATTATAACATTTTGTTAAAAATATAAAAGTAATTATCACTGGTTCACTACTTTACATCAATATTCATCGCATATCGAATGTTGCATTGTTTCAATATCTATCAGCAAATTATCCAATGAACGACAGGTAAAAATTATATAACTATTATTTGGTGTTTGCTAGGTATGTTATAATATACTGTGAACACTATAAGGATACATTATATAAGCATGAATCGTAAGAACATCGTTGGAGTCATCAGAGTCACCGCGTGCGTGCTCGATCGTCAGGTTAAGCAACAGTTTAATGCGGTCAGGACATGAATGGGGGTGACCAGAGTAGTATACCGCTTGGGATCGAAATTATCGCAGGAGGAGATTCATGAAAGTTTGGAATGTCTTGATAAACTTCGATATTTAGTAGTTTATGAGACATGAGAAAATTAGGAATATAAGTATATTTTTGTAAACATTATGATTTTCTCATTTTTCACCTTTGCATAATAATTCTCAGTATTTGATTACTATCAATATTTAACAGTGATTTTATTATCAGTATTCACCAGAAATTAAGTACTGGCCAAAAAATTACTGAATTACTGGTAATATTTAATCACTAATAATTTTTCAGTATTTCTTAGATGATATCTATAATGATATCTATGATATTTCTATAAGGGATATATGTGATGTACTGAAATCTTTCCGTTTTCATTCCGTCCTGAGACTGCCGACATCGCTGCGAACGTTCGTACGACATTCGCAGCGAAATTCTATAGTAGCTGCTACCCTAAACATAGGGACGTACTCAGAACGTACTCAGTCGATCGCAGTACATATGAGAACATTCTGAGATGATCGCAATATATGCATTGCGATCAACTCAGAACGTCCTCAGAACGTTCCCGTGCTGTTAGGGATTGCACTGCAATATGCAATCTTGCAACGTTGTAGCAATGTTGCTGCAAGCTTCTGTGCTGTATGAGTGTCTGGATTAAAGATTGAATAACCTCAAGTCGGCTTGGAACTCTGTATAACCTAGGGCGCCTAAGAGGTTCCATGTTTTTGATGGTCTTCGGGTGAGGATAAAGAACCGACCTTGATCTTTTAACAATTTGTTTGGATATTTGTGTATTTGGATTTATGTCGTGTATGGCGGCGTTCCTCCTGGTTATATTTGAGGAAGAAGAGGAAGAAGGAAGGATTTTTCTGACTCTAGCGGAACGCGAGAAATTGGACTCAATCTATGTAAAGCCATTCTAGTGACCAAAAAGATTCTACGAATTACTAACGGCCATTCGCCGCATTGATCCAATAGAACATTTGTTGGAGTAGACATCATAGATCCTAAAGTGGTTCTCAAAGCAGCAAACTGAATTCTGTCTAACTTAATTGATAAGTTTTTGGTCAGGCCAAGTAATGGGATGCCTCCATAATCTAAGATCGACCTTGTACCTATGAGTCCCTTGTAAGCGGTTAGGACCGTAAGCGGGTGGGCGTCCCAACTAATGCCCGTTATGGT